CTGTGGACGCATAGCCGCCACCTCTCTGGGTGGGGCCGACAGTTGGAGTTGGATCGGTGTTAGCCGTCGCCGCCCGGGGGGCGGCGCCGTTTACATCTACCGCTACGAGGAAGCCCCGATCCGTCGGTACGGGCGCCTTTCCACCAGCGCCCGCATCGAAACCACAAATTCCCTAGTGTCGGTCCACCCGGCCGCGCCTAGGCGCGACTCGGGCCATCGCCTCCCGGGGACGGCTCGCCAGGACCCTCACAGCAGGTCAAGGCGACCCGGCACCCGTCAGGTGATTACATCGTCCTCGCGGTTACCCACGATTCCGAGGGGAGCGACACCGGCGCGGTGGCCTCTTCCCGAGGGGACGGCAAGCCGTCCGCCCGGTGAGTGACTCCGCGCCACGGGCAAACCTAGGCCTTCACGCCCGTGGAACGACGTTTCCGTCGCCCCCCGGATCGGGAAAACGCTCCGGCCTGTAGCGGACGCGTACGGAGCCCAACCCCGCACGCCACGCTGGCGACCGGTGTCGTTAGCAGACGTTCCGCCCTGGCAGTACCAGGCCCGAGAACCACTGCTGGAGACTAGCGAAACCAGGCTGTGGTTTCGCTAGATCGCTGCATGGCACAGTACCGGCATCGAACACGGGCAAATACCGCCCAAAGACGCCCGTTACTGGCAATGACGATGGCGCTCCAAGTCATAGCCGGAGTACCTCCCCTCGACTTGGAACTAATTCGGCTGGCTAAGATCGAACGGGATAAGAGCGCCGTGAGGAGAGGAAACAAGTCGGCGTCAGAAGTTGCTGGAAAGGCGAAACAGTATTACGACACTACCAAACGCATCTGGCAGGAGAGATGGGTGTCCAGTGACAAAGATAGGCGGACGGCGATTTGTTTCCCGGACGTCCGGCGCAGGCTCGAGAGGCCGTGGTTCGTTCCGGACCGCCTCGTCACGCAGTTCGTGTCCGGACACGGGAATTTCAATTCGTCGCTCTGTCGTTTCAACCTCCGAGGCGAGGCACGTTGCCGATGCGGTCTTCCGGAGGAAACCGCAGAGCATGTGCTATACGATTGCCCATCATATAGCCAGGAAAGAAACAAGCTCGCAGCCGCAGCGCAAGCGGAAGGTGTGGACTGGCCGTGCGACTGCGATACTATGACCTCCGCGGAGGCCATGTTCCTTGCGTTCAAAAACTTCTCCCGGAAAGTCCTAGAACGTAAATATGTAGGACGACCCCGAAGGCACGACCCGGACCCCTAATTTTAAAACCATAGCGGACGGGCGTGTGGCTCGAGGGCGTACGTGCAGGGTACGACGCACAGCCAGAGACTTGGGGACAGTCTCCGCTATCCACGCGGGCACAAATCGTCCGAGTGGGCCTAGCCGGAACGACCGTCGCTGTCATCGATGGTGGCAGGGCGAAAACCTGCGAAGTACCGGATAATGGCAGGCGAAGCGGGACCCGATAGCCGGATCAAAAGGGCCCTAAGACGGAGCCCCCACAGGATCGTCTAACGCCCTCAGTACTAAGACCTGCCTAGCCGTGAGCGAGGGATGGGATACCCTGTGGGACGAACTGAATGCCCGACCTCTTTGGATACGGGACGGACGGGACAACTCGCGGGGCGAATTGGGTGCCCTCACTCCCTATGAACAAATTCTTGCCTAGACCGAGAGCTCGAACTAGAGGGGCCAGACCACCCGTCGGGCGAAGCACGTGCACGTATTCAGCCGGCTCGGGGCTTGATACGAGAGAGGCACCGGCAGAAACGGCAATCTGTCGATAAAGAGCAAAACCGTACGCGCAATAAAGGGGTCGTCGCGGTACACACAGCGGTGCCCCGATCGACCTGCTTGCGGATAAGGCAGTTGCGAGGGCCTGAACGCCGGGTTCAAACCTTGTACCACGGGACTTGGAGTAAGCCCCGTTGAGTCGGCTTACTAATAGCGCCTCGACGCTCCGGGAGTGCTGGACCCGAGGCGCACGACCGCGTGGATTCACCGAGGACTCACGCTCGCCCGCACCGGGAAAGGCACACTTGAGGAAGGACTCGTGGTGGTTGTGGGAGTACCGCCTTAGTAGAAGGGGTTTGACTCAGGCGATAATCCGTCGGCCCTGGCCGCGGCGGTCACTCATTATGGCGCCCGTGGTGAGGCGGCGCCCCGGGTGGGATCCCCGGAGTCATCCGGGACTACTATCCGGAAGAGACAACCCCGCGGTTATATAAAGGTGCTTAGTGTCTCCGGGCATCCCGGAAGTACTGGTCGACCCCGCAACACACGGAAAGATGTCTATAAATTGTATTTTTTTTGTGTGGTCTTTTTACATTGGAGTTTCTTATAATAATTTCAGTATCTGCTTGAATACAATACAATACGTCTATGCAATTGAAAATATTTGGGTGCGTAGTATAAAATTGGGAATTAAATTTTGAATGAAAAGATTCACATGAATTAGTGGTACGACTAACACTACTGCTTTTTTCTGCCCAAATTAAAAGTGGAAATAAAGAATTATTGTCAATATTATTTTCAACTAAGTAGTCCATAAATTTTCTAACTTTTTCATTATTTGGTTGTATCTCAGCTAGTTCGAATGAAAAGCAATCGCCGACTGATTGCGGATCTAGAAATGGTAGACCAAATATATACATCCAAAATTCACCAATTTCTGTTTTTTGTTTATACTCTGTTGAAAGAAAAATTCAAAATTTTATACCATGATTGTCCTAGGTGAAACCGACAACCACGAATCTCACTCAACTGCTAAACTTCATGTATTGCGTTGTGTATAGCAACTTCTAAATCAAAATATACTTTTTTTGTTTCAAATTGATTTATAAAAGTTAAACAATAATTATTGATAATTTTAAAAATGTTTATGTACGATTCTTGATTTTTATCATTGAGTAAAGTAAAAGTTAAAAGTATATAATGATTATTTTTCATTACGTGGACTGTGAAAAACTGGTAAAAAAATGTTGTACAATACGAGAATGTACCATTAACATATTATATTGTAGATGACTTACTTAAAAAATTTAAATTGTCTTCTGTGCTAAATAATAAGACCCCCTTTTCCGCATCATTCGTTTGTAAAAATTGTTTACCATCAAATGTTTTTACATCCATGGTTTGTAAAATATCGTGCACTTATTGTCTGTTTTTGGGTAACTTTGGACGTACTGAAGCTCGAGCTTGGAGCAAATTGTGTTTGATGTATTTAACATCTTGCGTCGTTATTGAATTTGTTGAATTTTCTCTTAAATATGAAAGCAACAATTTGGAAGGGCGTTCACGTAAACTTTCGACAGCTTTTGTTTTCAGTCCGTTACTAATAATTTGGCGTTCAAGTTTATTCTCTTCATCTGGATCGTAGTTATAGTTAAGATTGGACGATTCCCATACAACATTTTCTTGCAGGTTACCAATTCTAAAATAAACTTTCATCCTCGTTTAGTACATTTGAATCGTTTAAATGCATTTTGAGGAAGCTTATGGTAGCTGAATTCAAACTTATTGACTATTAAAATTAATTCTCCCTTTTCACTTTTCATTTTTTCAACCAAATTAATTTTATGTATAGGTAAGAATTACAAAAAATTGCAACGAACTGCGACGGATACGTAATGCTATTACTGCATTTAATGATATTAGTGAAATACTGCACTATACCTATATAGGTTTTATAAATACGTTGATAGTTGTGACCGTTTTCGGATTAATGAGTTGGTAATTTCAAGACTAACCGGCACTGCGTCGCTAAAAATATTACAGTCACGTACTTTTTCAACTTTTATATTTTTAACGTATAGACGTACATAAAGTTGAATTTATTTTCAAAAAATTTTAATAACCAATAGATTTATAAAATAAATGTGTAGGGAGTCAACTCAATGCATAAATCTTGGGAGTCAATTAAATACGTAAAAATTATGATTACCTGAGTTACGGAGCCAATTCAATAGCTCCGTGTAAAACAAAATATCAAAATAATCGATGTGTTTGTCGAAAAGCTAAAAAAAAATATAATTCGAAGTACCATAGTAGTTTATCTTGTGAATATAATATATTTGCATGAAATAATACTTAATTTTATCGATTCAAGTTATATTTTAGTAAATAAATGGAATATTACCCAAATTGTCTATCAATTGTAGACATTTTATGTATTGCTTAATGCTTATTCATTGTCAGCATTCACTGGATAAATTAAAAAATCGTTATATTTTTAATTATAAATGAACAATAAAAGTTCTGCTTTTGTAGTTTTCGTCACTACGGTAGGGGTTTAATGTTATTCATTGATTTTCTATTACACGCTTTGGTTAAACGTTACAGAAGCTGTTCAAAAATCGATCAGAATCAGACATTTAACCATTCTATAAAAAAACCAAAATTGAGGAAAGGTCCACATTAAATACACTACTGTTACAATACATATAAATAAAAAATGTAGTTTTTAACAGAATATATTTTAATGACTTCTTATAATTGTATTTTGTTATAGAAAATAGAGAGGCAGTTTTGAATACTGGTAAATTATATTTTTGTATAACAATTTTTATTGCTCGCGTATCCTTAAACTTGTTCGTATTACATATTCTGTACATAGTCACATTAAAATAATTATAGTAAAAATCGCAATTAATACTCGATAGGTATGAATTATTTATTTTCGCGAAAATTCTATGTGTATAAGGATTTTATACATAAAATACATGAATTTGAATGACGACCATACCACTCTGAAAGTGTATGGTTAATTGGTTATGACATCCACCGTTTCCATACTTATCCAGAAATAAGATACGTCGTCGTCTGTTGCGCTCATTATCTATCTATTATCTCCACTTATACGGAAATGTCATCTACAATAGTTATATAATATACATATTGTATAGTTATTATAGATTCATATTAAAATTGCAAATATGATTGTATTCGTATAAGACTTAATTCATAATTACAACGAGTTCCATCGTTCATATTCTTGTTACTTTCCTCGTCAAAAACTACCATGAAAGCAATTCGTATATTGATATACATATATACACATAAATGCAATTACCACAATACAAAATTATCGTATTATAATAAATAATCCTAAAGAATGCATTGTCGTTTAAATAGTTCATTAAGCAAATTACCCTAATATATAGTAGATATTATATAAATATATTTTTTAGACTACACAAAGAATTACTACCAATATCATTTAACAATTATTAAGGCTCAAAAACTTAGTACGTATTAAATTGTACACTAATTATTAATAATATGTTTTTAATAGTAATAAGTTAAATTTTAAAATAGCAATAGTGTGATTGTACCGTGTAGATACCTAAACTCAAATAATGCAATTCATCGAAAATAGGATCACAACAGTTAGCTAGGTATATATTAAACTAGCTTAATTACCCGGTGTTGCCCAGAAAACTCCTTTTATGTGTAAAACGCTGTGGAAGCGTTGTTGAAAAGAAGAATGTCTTTTTGAATGTAAATTAAATAATATTTATATTTGTAGCCACATGTGTAATTATATGGGTAATATACGACACTGTACTGACTAATGTACAACACTTGCCAGTAAATGAGGAGCATGTGAGACGGTGCTATACATGTGATACGAAAGTGAATAAAAGAAACATGAATCGTCTCCCTCCACTTGCAGAGCACGGTGAGGTACCATATTAACCTACGTCGATGAGCTCCATGTGTTTACGGGCACCGTAAATATTTTATATGTCACGCACGTTCGAACTGCTGGTAGTGCGTAGTGCAAATGAAATGAACGTGTTTAATGTATATAATTATAGGCACTGTGGCAAGGAAATGGAGAGATAATAACTAATAAATATAATTTGTATGTGCATTGGTTTATGTTATCGATATGCACTTTATCGTTCATTATAAATTATAATAAAATAGGAGTATTGGTGTACGCGCGATTCATGAGATTATTTTTATCGATAAACTTCCCGGAACATATTTTTATCTACACGACGACGACGAACAAAAAGGATAGGTTGCAGGTAACTGGAAACCCGCGTGCCACCGTGTCGCTCAATACGTAGTGGCGGTGAGTAATTATAATTGTTAATTACTTCACTAAAACGCAACATTTTTGAAAATCCTATCTTATTGCACGGTGAAAATATGAGAAGAACCTCTATTCCAAATTTTAAGTCCGCACGTTTAGTAGTTTTTGAGATACAGCGATCAGTGAGTCAGTGATATTTGGATTTTATATGCATTATGCATAGATAAATGGACTGTAAAAAAACTTTTATTTTATAAATCTTTATTGTGTTTTAATCATGTATGATAATAAATAGTGAAATTACTTATCGTATGCCAGTAAAAAAAAAAATAATATCATAAAATTGATAATAATCCACACACCTGTGGTACATCTCTCCGTGAGTTGCGAGGCCCAACCAGTTCTTCCGGGGTTACCCCGGGGACACTCTAACCCTTTATGTAGCCGCGGAGTTATCTCTTCCGGGCGATAGATTAAGATGCGTTCCCTGGAGCCAGGCAGCAAGGAAACTCACCCGGAACGCTACCTCCACTTAGGCGTCATAACAAGCTGCAGCCGCCTCCAGGGCCCAACAGATACCGTCCGAATCAAGCCCCTTCTACTAAGGCGATACTTCTACAACCATCACGAGTCCTTCCTCAAGCGCGGCAGCCCCACCGCAGACAAACGCAAGTCCTTGGTGAACACCTGCGGTCGACACTACTTGACGTCTCATAATACTGTGTCGCCTTTCACCAGCGTCTGACGCCCACATGTTTCCTCTCCTCACGGCGCCCTTGTACCTAGTAGCCTTGTACCCTTGTAGCTAGTGGAGGTACTTCGGCCATAACTTGGAGCACCATCGTCAATGTGGTCTTATACGCGTTCGTTATTGCCAGTAACAGGCGTTTTTGGGTGGTGTTTGCCCGTGTTCTGTGCCGGTATTGTGCCATAAAGCGATCGATCCAGACCGAGGCCACGTTACCCATACACGGTAGGAACACTAATTTAAAGAGAATGCTTGTCGTCCTCTCTTTAAGGCCCCAGCTTGTCTTTGCAACGAACATTAATCGATTGAACAGCGCCACTGAAGGCGCTTCTTTTTCCGCCAGATGGGTACTAAATTTCCTTTGCAGATCAAACATGGCCCCGAGGTATTCCGCCTCGGGAGTCATTTTTATCTTAGCCCCCCCCCCCCCCCAAGCCGCATGTTAAAAAGCTTACTGAAATTTCTCTTTACCTATAAGGTCTGCGACTTGGCCGCCGATAAGGTGTGTTCTTGCTCATCTTGACGCTATTTCTAACAGTGCGTTAGCATGTTCCGTGAACTCCGGACGGTATTTCCTGGAGATGAGCAGCGCTAGCTCATCCACATAGGCGACAATCTCTGTACCGGGTGGATGATCGCCGGACAACAGCGGGTTGACCACGTACCTCTAGAGGTCAGGTCCAAATTCTGAACCCTGCGGGCAACCTTTTGTCAGGGTCGTCGAGAGTATCATGTATCCAATCGCCAAATGAGCCTTTCGGCCGTTCAGGAAGCTCTTTGTTAGGGCGATCAGCCCAGAGCCGCAATTTACACTTTACATGTCTTTAATCAACTGCGCCAACCAGAGGAAATCAAACGCCTCCGATATATCCAGGAATACGCCTATGACGTATTTCTCTCGCCTTTCGTCTGACCAATTCAAAGCATGTGTTATCGTGTCAACGGTCGATAGGTTCTGTGTAAAAACAAATTGCCTGGCCGACATATGGAGGACCGTATCTATACAGATTCTTGCCTTCATAATGTGTTCCAGTGCCTTAGCTAGAACGGATAGTAAGCTAATCGGTCGGTAAGACATAGCCTCTGTCGGGTCTTTATCGGTCGATTTCCTAATGACAACCAGCGCCGCGTTCTTATACCGGCTCAAAAATGTTCTCGTATCCAGCGAACTGTTGAACACAAACGAAATTTGGTTTTTAAATTACCTAACCTTGCAGGATTCCTGCCGTGATCTCGTCTGGACCTGGGGCCTTGCTTGTTTTCATGCACCATATAGCGTCTCTAACCTCGTCGACTGTGCACGGTCAATCGAGTCGAAGGCAAGACACGAAATGGTTGGTCTCCGGCATCTGAGATACCACGCCTTCGTAATCGTCAATCGTTGTACGTCGTCGCCGCCGCAATAAGAGTAGTGTTGATGAAAAGGCGACGGATCGGAGGGACATATTGGGGGGCATATTATATTTTATCATATTTTTATTGCATACTAAAAATCGGTCTTAAAAGTACTTTATTTATTATGACTTTATATTTTTAACCATTTTCCCTGTAGAGCTGGCCGATTGATCAACAAAAATTAGTACGGTATTTCAATGGAACAACTCAGTTTCCTCTCATTATACATTAGTGGCTATTTCACTATTTTTTAATTTTACTTAGCTTCGTGCCATTACCGTCGCGCTGGATAATATAAAAAAAAATAATTTGCCAGCAGCCGTGTCTATAGCGAATAAGCAACCCTAAGACCCCCTTATCTATCACCAGCTAAATTTTTTTTATGTAGTAAAATTTATAATTTAAAACTAAACCAACTATTCATTTTTACTATATTGACGAAGAGTTTGCGTGTATAATATGTAAATGGGTGCGATTGGAAATCACACGTCAGATAAGAAATGCAACATAATACAAATGTCTCTACACAATCTGCACACAATCTCCTTATGCATTGACTTGAAGTCTTGAAGTATAATAATTGTGGGTTTAATACAAAAAAGTTATAATTGTCAATTGCACAAAAAAAAAAAAATGATCTGATAAGACTCCTTTAGTTTCTGAATGTGCCTAGAAACGGACTAATATTTCTGAAATAGATTCTGCTACATTTTAATTGAATAATAAACCTCAACAAATGATCAGTTTTCATATAATTATATAGTAAACTAAAATTATTTTTATTCTAGTGTAGGAATTTACAATTGGTGCACGATAATCAAAAATATTTAAAAGGGTAGTTTTTCATTCACAACTAGAAGATTTAAAAGTTATTGACTTAAGAATTTTTTTAAATTATTATACATTTACAAAAAAATAATATTTTTTAGTTAATTTATGTATAAATCACAATATATTGTAATAGAAAAACTATACTTTGAAGATTTAATTCATCTCAAATTTAATTCTATACGATATTAGCCCTTAATCTATAAGAAAAACACAATTTTATTAGACGAGATTAGTTCAAATTAATAATGACCATTTTTTATGTTGTATCTTAAGTTTTTAAGTGGTTTTTTGTTCATTTATTTAGTGTGTTTATACATATTATGTTCCACTATTCATTAATGTAAGGGACGAAATTTAAACGAATTTATACTTACATAAACTTCATTATAATAAAACATTTAAAATATACCTATTTCTAAAAATCATGAAAAAAAAAAGATTCATAATTAAGGTATTTATTTTTGTTTTTAGATATGCTTACGTTAAATCCTCAGATTTGGTGTAATGAATACATCCGCAAATTAATGAATTCATTATAATTAAATGTTTTAACTATCGACAATATTAAAGACAACTGGATATATCAAGCTTAGTGATGAAAATATCAAAGCCATTCAAAAATAACCACAAGATAATAAAAAATTACCTTATATGTTGAAATAATTAATATTCAAACTCAACGGGAACCCACATTAATTATATTTTTAATTTTTACTCTTAGGCTCCAAGAGCTTGTTAATTATAAATTATTTATCTAACTTTTGTGTTTTATTTTTTTGGGCAGAGGGGGCATGTAAAAAACTTATTATTATAAAATCGGCTATTTAAAATTAAAAATTTGAATTAATTTGAAATTTTACATCAATCAAAATAAAATACTGGTTTTTCTGTTAAGTATGTTTTTTACGATACATCGTAATTGAGTTTATATCTTTTATGGATGTATTAAATTCCAAGTTAAGTGTTCTTTGAAACCTGCAGTTCCTACTGGTAAAAAGCATCCTGATTCGGATCAAAAATTTATTTAGCTTTGCTTGCTAAGATCCATGTTTGAACCCTTCATTAAATTGCTAAGTTTAAAAAATTGGCTCTTAGTTGATACCTCTGCAACAAATTTCAGGTCTACGAGTTTGATAGACATATTTATGATTCGCTACACACTTGCACTTCAGTGCACACACAGTCTTGCCTTTAATTAAAATATTCTACTCAATAACACCATACTATGCTAAAATTGATTCAGATCCCAAACCTATCTTTTTATTTAAATTAACAGTTTATGAAATACTCTCACAAGATTTATTTTCCGGACTACGTCCAAAAAGATCTAGGATCGGCATTTAGCTTACAATCAGTTCGAGTAAAGAGCGATTACTCGTATTAGCAACTTTTGAATTCAAATTTATGACGAGTCTAGATAATAGAACACTTGTTTAATTTCTGGAACAACCGAACACTAAATTGGGCAAGAGCTCACACCTTAAAACATATTATCTCAGGATAGCATGCACAATATAAATTAAAATATTTATGAAAGTTATCAAAATTTTGAAGGTCACAGTTAATGGTGAATTTAATAACAAAAGTGTGGTGATAGGACCAGAGGGAACAGAAACCATTTCTGATTTTTCTATTAAAATGCTGTAGTTATTAGAAAATACTATATTAAGAATATCCCCAAAGTGAATCGAGAACCCATTAAGTTAGAAAAAATTATTGAAAACAAATAAATCGGGGATACGCTGCAATCTAGGGCCTGAAGACGAATAAAATATTAGGCCATAAACGATCACGCGTTTTCAATAAGAGATTTCTTTTGCGCGTTTCAATCACTTGGACAGAAGTGCAGCAACGAGGTAATCCTTATGCAACAAGAGATTCCACTGGAACGTGATGGAAATTATGTGTAAATTGCATCCTGAAGATTTTTCATCAACAATAATATATATCAAAAACAATTCTAAGAATATTTACGAAATGCAAGGCCGCAGACTACAATAACAAGGAACTTATTCCATTTATAAGTTAGCCCAGAGAGCAAAAATATCTGATGTACCATTGCCATTAAGACCTAAGCACTTTCAACTATTTGGCCACTATTTAACTATTTAACTTATACTATGTTTAATTTAAATAAAAAACCTTATGTTCCTTAATAAGTGGTATTTAAATGCATTTATTCAAATTATTAAATTAATTGATTGCTGAAAGTACACACGCAACAGTAACAATATTTGTGGCTCATTACGAATATTTTTTAATATTTACTTGTAAAATCATAACTATTTAGTATTTATTTATTTTTTTGATGGTTTAATAGCAAAAATATTAAATTATAGTATCATATGTCTTAAATTCACAATCACATTGACATACATCGTTAATCTTTCCGTACTTATTTATTATATTTTCAACAAACTGATTTCCTTTTGATAATATAACGTATATACACTTTTGATTCCATCTTGTGTGTTCAATCCATGGAATATCATCTTTTTCCCAATTATGTAAGATGAGTCCACAGCAAAAACATTCGACAATATCTTTTTTCCCTGAATATTTAAAACCGCTTTCAGCTAATGAGTATTTATCTTGAGATGAAGTTAACGGGAATAAGTTGAATGTTTTCAATCTTGAAGAAAATTTTATATATTCTGGGTATTTAGGATAATATGCATTATTTCGTACTAAAAAAACTAGTGAACAAAAATTGTTGCTAAAATTTTGAAAATTCATTTTTTGTAAAAATAAAGAACTTTTTAATAAACAATAAGTCTTGATCGAATGATGGTTTAATACTAACTAAACTGAACTAGATTAGATTATTAATTTTAAAGTTTGAAAAAACTTTAAATTTAAAATTGTAGTGTGACCAATATAAATAAACTGTTTTTGTGTTAAACGAAAAAAAATTGAGTACAAGATTAAAATTACAGTGTAACCAATATAAATAAACTGTTTTTGTGTTACACGGAGACGAAAATGAGGAAGAGGGATATTCCCCCTTAAACTTTTAAAATCTCCCTGCCCAAAAGTGCTGTGAACATACAAATACATACTATTCCTGCCGCTCTGTGACCAGTAGAGCCGCAACGTCTGCAGCATGAGCTTCTGTCTGGGCCTTTACACTCTTTGGACATGTGTCCGAAGGAGAGGCACTTGAAACATCTTATCCTCGATCCGCCCAGCCTGACCCTACAGTTTACAAGCCCGACACGTATACGGCAGTGCGCTAGCATCTTCTTGCACGCCGCTGAAGGCACCAACACCATAGCCGGCTGGGTGCCGCCAAACCGTTTCCTGACGCTAACGACCTTTATCGCATCCCGGTTTATCCCAGTCTCGAACGCCACAGCACCTGCTACCTCCTCGCTGTCGGACCATTGGTCCAGGTCCCTGATTTCCACCATAGTCTTTTGGTGTAGGGATCTTATTTCTACGTTCTCTCTGGCTGTTCTCGAGACCTCCGCACGGACAACTTCGATCTGCTGTTGGTCTCCCTTCAGTTCGATCAGCAAGCTTCCTGCCTTGGTTTGCCTGATCCCAACGATATGGTCGCCAGTAACCTCGCGGTTCACGCCGCCACGAATTTTTTTGACTAGCTCTGGAAACTCTGACTTGCCGGTCTCTACCAGAATGGCCGGGGGGCGTTGTCTGTCCGTTGCTCTGGAAGGCCGCGTCATCTCCATAGGCACGTTAGTTGGGGGTGGAGCTGCGACTGAACCCTTGGTTTTGTTAACTCTCCCCTTCTTCTTCGTGACCTCCAATCAGGTACCGCTGTCACCAACGTTACTGCCACTGTGACCTTGAGCCGAACGGATGTCATTAACTTCCTGTCTCAGGGCCTTTACATCTAGGGCGATATCCGTTAACAAGGATATAGCAGTGCCATCATCAGTGTCAGCAACCACACTCGCCGTACTCTTTGCCGTACTCTTTGCCACCGTGCATGGCAAGGGGACACCCGCTAAATCCTTCAATTTGTCTGCCACTTGTTAACGCTGCTTACGGATACCTGTTGCGTGCCTGAACGCCGTCATTGCTTCGGCGAGTGCCGACTGGACGGGTTTCGCCACGTTCTTCACCTCCCTTGAAGCCTCTAACACGGTGATCATCCTTCTTCCAACTCTGTCAAACCATTCCTTTTCCATCTTCACCGTCCGTTCTAAAGCTTCGAAAAGTTGTTCTTCTGACATCTTCGCCAGCTTCACAACATCTATCAGCGCTGATTGGGCGCTGCCACTACTGGCAATGAGCTTATCGGCTAGGGTGGATCTACCGGGTTCCGCGTCGGTGTTGTGCCCCAGGGTTGTGCCCCGGCTCGAAGATTTAGTGCCCTCAGCGGACATGATGACTGTCTCAGCTCTAGTAGTGGGTAGGGTGGCGGGGGCCTGGCTGGCCACCCCCGCTCCCTTACGGTCACTTAATGACGACCTTAGTGGGCCCGCTACGTTAGACCCAGCTGTTACCCCGGATCCACCCACTACTGCTGGCATCTGGGGGTCTGTATCCCCTGATGCGGTAACAATATTCCTAGTTGGACTATTCATATTGTGTTTACAATTTTCTCTGCCATTTTAGCCCTACTGGCAAAGGGATTTGTATTCAGTGTTGCCTTCACCTAGGACGGCTGCCTGCCAGGCTAAGAGCCCGTCCTACCCTTTGGAACCTCCTAGTTGTCTCTCTCGTACGCGACCTTCGGGTATGGGTGACCCTGCCGGCGTAGCTCGCGGAGTCGACAAGAGACGTAAGCCCCCCCCACCACCTCAAGGTAGGTCCCGTCCGTGGGGGGGGGGGGAGGTTCCGGGACCTTTTTTTTTTTCCATGGTATCGACATTTGGGGTGGTACCGACCTCTCGATCATTTCACCCCCAGACGCCATCGTTTATTGAATCAATACAATTTACGTTGATTGTTGACCGTGCTCAGGGACAATCCCCCTGGTTGCGGCCTTACACGTTATGGTTGTACAAAAGGAAGGGGTTCTATCCCCTTTATTTCGCCTTTGGCTTACTATATAATAACTTAACTAAGTTGTTTATGCTAGAAGTTCTTGTCGCCTTCTTTCTTCAGCCTCTTTGTGGCTAGGTTAACCTAACAACTTCATACAATCAGGGAACTTAAATATAAAACTATTAATTTATACAACAAAAAATTTGGGGCCTCTAACCACCCTGAGGGGGCCTTCGGCCAACAAAAATATTACACTTAACTACTTTGTTTATCTTCATGGGCATCGGCTTCGGCTACTGGATTTGCAGCCTTCGCTGCCTACTTTATGGCTCACGTTTCGGTGACCGGATTCCTCGCATGGTAGGCACCTTGGTTCCGCTACGCAGGATCGCGCGATATGTCCGCTGTTCCCGCAACGCATGCACAGCTTGCTCCTATCCGCGCTGTCGCACTTGGAAGCAACGTGTCTGAACAGGTGACACTTAAAGCACCTGTCACTCTTTGGCTTCAACCGGACCCTGCATAGGCTCCATCCACTCTTAATTTTCTTCTCAATAATTTCCTCCGCCCTCTTCCTGCTCACAGAAACTGTGGCTTTCTGCATTCCACTCAGAGCAGCACTCACTTTGCCCATCTTTAGACTGTTATCTCCACAACTGGCACAGATTTCCTTAGTGATCTCTTCCATCGACGCTGTGGGGTCGATGTCCAACACCTTGATCACGGCTCTTTCCTCGAGACGTCTGACGTACCGAATCCGCTCAAGCAACCAGCCACCGCTCCCTCGAATTCAGCAAGGACGGTCTGTCCCCTGCCGGCCTCTACGAGGAGGTCACCAGCCCTCGTGTACCACAACCTCGGATTGATAGTCTGGTGGGCGTTAAGATCCACGCCTGCTTTCAGAGCTTCCGCTGCTGCCTTGACCGCCTGACTCTTCACCTAACCTTCTTGGAATTACCCACTACCTCGACCAGGATCGCCTCGTTCTTGAGCCGTGAAAACTTAGGCTTTTTGATCTTCTCTTTTGGAGGTGCTGTCTTCGTGTTGGCTTGAGCTTCTGCCGGTTTTTTGGGAGCCCTTGGCTTCGTAGCCACCGTAGTCCTCCTTGTCAACAGCGGCTGTACTTCATCTCAGCTTAGTAAGTTCTGAGGCGAACCTGCAAACAGTCGTCTTGAACTCGACTACCATGGCCTTGATTGGCTGGTGGACGTTTCTGTTAGTATCACAGAAAAATTTCAGGCGTTCTACGAGTTTTTAAACCTGAATCACCACAACTTCGACTTCGTCGATGCATGAGAATGGTCCCAAATCGTAGGCGGCTTCTTCTTCATCAGCTCTAGTAGTTGGTAGAGTAACAGGAGCCTGGCTGGCCACTTCTGCACCCTAATGGTTGCTTGATAACGACTGGAGCGAGCCCGCTACGTTGGACCCGGTTTTTACGCCGGATCCACTTGCTCCTGCCGACCTCTGGGGTACCGAAGTCCCTGAGGCGGTAACAATATTATCGTTGCAAGACTTCATATTGGGTTTTTATAGTGATTTCCTTCACTTGCGTTTTAGCACTGCCGCCAGGGAGATTTATATTCAGTGTTACCTTCACCTATGTCCGTTTGCAGTCGCTTGCAGGTGGATCAGACCTGCCCAACCAGATAAGGTAAGGCTCTGTGGTTTAGTCCGACTTGGACGGGACCGCTTTGTAAGACCTAGTTAAAGGCCCGCAAGCTCCCCCACCGCGTCAAGGTGGGTCCCATCAGGGGAGAGGTTCAGGACTTAACCTAACCTAATCTAACCTAACCTCCTCCCCACGCGATCCGCCTTGACGTGGCGGGGAGGCTTGCGGACTCTTAACTGAGTCTTACCAAGCGATTCCGGTCTTACTTAGACCAAACACAGAGTCTTACCTTAACTGGTTGGACAGGCCTTGTCCACCTTCAAGCGCCTGCAAACGAACATAGGTGAAGGTAACACTGATCACAAATCCCCCTGCCAGCAGGGCTAAAATGGCAGAGACAACTGTAAACACAATATGGACAGTCGAACTAGAAATATTGTTACCACCCCAGGGGCTTCGGAACCCCAGGGGTCGGCTGTAGTGGGTGGATCTGGGTTAAAAGCCGGGTCCAACGTAGCGGGCTCACTACGACCGTCATCTGACGACCGCGAGAGTGTGGGGGTGGTCAGCCTAGCCCCCATAACTCAAAATGTTCCTAGCGCTGTATCTGACGTGTAGCAGGTTTAGTCGAAAAGTCAAGAGCCTCAAGAGCCGGGAACTCTCCACCGGAGGCTGCTCGATTCCGGCACGCATGAGACAAAAGAAGATGCCCCTTCAGCTATGACAAAGCTGAAGAAGATTATGAAGGCCCAAAACGCTATCCTTAATGCCCTCTTCGCAGAAGTAGACACCCTCTCAGCAGCGAAAGCCCTCACTAGGTCGGACCGCATTAAAGAGAGTATCGAGAAAATTGAGAAAATTGCAGAGCAACTTGACACAAACCGTACTCCGCTCCACAGTACTCTCACCACAGCAGCCAGACTCGTCGACCGCGCTGAAGCCCGCCCAGCTCCAGTGGCCACGAACAGAGAAAACACGGCCAATATAGAAAACCAGAAAGCCATCCTGAAAGCGTGTGATGAACTGAAGGCATGCGTAGCCAAACAGCAGGAGGATATAGACACACTGAAGAGAAATCAGCTCAGACCCACATACGCGGCGCTAGCAGGCACACAGAATGCCACGCAGCAAAGTACGGCCCGCGGTAGTATCTCAGAGAAAACACAGAAGTCCTTCCCGCAACCACCCTGGACGAAAGTCGAAAAGCCTAAACCCAAATCCAAAGCCAAACCAAAGGGCAACACAGGGGAAAAAAAACCCAGACGACCTCTATCCGACTCAATATCGGTGAAGCCCGAGAGCGGCAAGACAAACGCGGACATCCTGAGAGCGATAAGAGAAAAGGTGGATATCGAGACTATCGGATCTCAGGTGTCTTCCATTACGGAAACCCGTAGTAGGGAGATCCTGATTCGGTTCAGTAAAGAGGACACAAAAAGTGAGGAATTAGTCGAGTCGGTGAAGACTAACCTAGGAAGCCGCGCCACCATAAGGGGTCTCGTCAAATATGACGACATAGAGATCCAGGACCTGGACGGGATCACGACCGACACCGAAGTGGCATCCCGCATCAGAAACTTCCTGGGGCTAGCCCAAGACGACTCAACAGTGACAGTCAAAAGCATTAGGCAAGCACATGCAGGGACCCAAAGAGCCACGGTCAGACTAAAGAGCATGGCTAACACGGGACGGAAAAAGATCGGCTGGATCTACGCCAGGGTCAGAATGAAAGTAACCGCCATCAGATGTTTTCGCTGCCTCGGATATGGTCACACCAGGCACAACTGCAAAGGTCCCGACCGTACGGAAGCCTGCAGTACATGCAACAGCAAGCTGCACAAATCGTCTGACTGCAGCTCGCCGCCAAATTGTGTGGCCTGCGCAAATGTTGATTCGCCATCAGACCACTACCCGGGAAGCGGTAGATGCACCACGTACCGCAACGCGCTGGCTAGGATTAAAACGCCTCCAAGCAAAGAGTTGAGGGAAACAGCCAAGGAGGCTGAAGCCCAAAACATAATCAGTAATGCCTAAATACCTGCAGATCAACCTGAACTGCTGTAAAGCAGCTCAGGCTCTGTTGCACCAGGTGGCAGCGGAGGAATCAGTGGACTTCAT